GACATAAATGTGCAAAAGGATCTTGTCATATGAGAGATCAGAAAAAAAAAGATAAGAAAATTGAAAAGATAGATAAAAACACATCAAACATGACTTTAGTAGTTGAGCTTGATTGGCTGGATACCTCAGAAAATAACTATCTTGATATATTAGAAGTATTACTAATATAAATTTACAAATATAAATAAAATTATGAATGTATAGTACTACACTGGTCAAGGAAAGTTCTATCTACTTTATGCGGTACTCTCAAAGTGATGGTGTAAACCATATGAAAATACTGAAACACTCTTTAACCCAATCGGCATGGATGACAAGAATACATGCCATGCCTACTGTAATATAAGTTCATTTTTTGTCTTTACACATAGATGGCTCTAAAAGTGCTTAGTCACCAAGGAGTCAATTAATAGTCCAACCTGTCACACTTGTTTACCCATTTCCATGATTTTTGGAAAGTGCCTTTTGTATTATTTCATTGTTTTCAATATTACCAAGATTTTAAAAACAATTTGATAATCATATTAACAAGAATAATAACAGCATCAAGGAATTGGGAAATCACTGCTAGACTCCTTGCTGGCCGAGCACAAGTGGAGCCATCTGTGTGTAACAAAATTCACAAAAAAAAAAATACAGGATATTACACAAATCCATGGCAATTGGGTTTTAAAGAATAATAATGAATGAAGGGGAAAAAATGCTTCTTTACAATCTAGAGCACTTGATGCACTAATATTGAGTAAATATGACTCAACAAATAACTTGTCATATCAGGAATACAATATAAGCTTACAAGTGTGATACGTATATGATATAATCAGGAATATATAAAACCACACTCTTGTTAGAGAATTTGAAATATATATTGTGCTTATGAAGTTATTTAATTTATATGATACATGAAAATAATTCAAAAGAAAATACAATGAAAACCTACAGTTATAACCCAATGATACCACTCATTGCTTGCTTTATTTAATTATAGGGTCTACACAACAATAACAAAATCCTACATTCTTGACTTTTTAGAAAATATGACAAATATAGACTTGAAAATAATAATTCTGAAAAATGCTGCTATTTTGTGTGAAGGGTCCCACACAGTAGAGTGATGACATAACCCCCTGGGCCCAAACCCCTACAAAAAACACCCAGGATGGAGGGCTTGGCATTGGAAAATCACCTGGCAGCATTGGGTTAATGTACTAGATGTTAAGTTGATTAGATCCCAAGTAAATCAGAGCATTCAATTTAGATATTGTACTAAATATCACCTGTTTGCAATCGTTCCTCCCTTCCATGTCTTTGACGGAAGCCTTTAAAAGATTTTTTTCTTTTCTTTTCTTTTCTTTTTGTGTTCAGGCCTTACCAATCTTGAAAATACTATTTTTGACAGTTTTCCATCATATTCCTATCCCCAAGGCTTCCAACCTTTTCAGGTGAACGTAACCAGTAGCAAATAAGTGTGTTTGTTTTATGCATGATTATGTTCAGGATTTTGATTTTTTTATTAGTTAGAATTACCTTTACTTTTTAGGTGGTGACTTAGTGAACCTGATGTCCAACTATGATGTACCAGAGAAATGGGCCAAGTTCTATTGCGCAGAAGTGGTCCTAGCACTGGATGCAATCCATTCCATGGGATTTGTTCACAGGTTAGGGCTAGTTGACTTTTACAGTCAGTCATAATGTTTTTTTCTTCTTCCTCCTCTTCCTCTTATTTTTTTTTTTATTATTATTATTTCCTACTGTGTTTAAATAAATTGCAGTTTGTTTTCTCCCTCGCTCTAATTCATATTTTTTCTTTCAGAGATGTAAAGCCAGATAACATGCTCTTGGATGGTAGTGGTCACCTCAAACTGGCAGACTTTGGTACTTGTATGAAGATGGATAAGGTGAATGTTTATCAGAGAAGCATCCTTTCTGTCATTTAAGTAGATTTTGATGTCATTTATGTTCCTGTTGGTCTTAGTCACTGCAACTTGATATGTGTTTAAATGATTTCATAACAGATGATTTGTCAGTTTTGTTGAGTGCATTTGCATAGCTTTTAGTTTCAAGGTTAAAGAAGAGGTACTAAAGCTGAATGCAGTAGGGGGGAAAAATCCAGACAATATTTTTTATTCTTTGCATATTTCCTCTTCAGAACATTATCAGAAAACCAGTAATCGTAAATCATTTGTCTTCATCTCCTTTCTTCCCCAGGACGGACTTGTAAGATCAGACACAGCTGTAGGAACGCCAGATTATATCTCTCCTGAAGTCCTCAAGTCACAGGGTGGTGAAGGGGTCTATGGGAGAGAGTGTGATTGGTGGTCTGTCGGTGTCTTCCTCTATGAAATGCTAGTGGGTGACACACCCTTCTATGCAGATTCCTTGGTTGGCACCTACGGCAAAATCATGGATCACAAAAATTCACTTAAGTTTCCTGATGATATTGAAATTTCCATAGATGCCAAGACTTTGATCTGTGGTTTCTTGTCTGATAGGTAAGGAA